AGGTGTTTGTGGCTGGAACATCAGCCTTGGCTGCTAGAGATGAACGGAGGTCTTACCAGAATGCAGAAAGACCAAAGACAAAGGCAATGTCAGGAGCAAGCCAAGGGTTGGAGATCCGGCATGGCGTGGTAGTCCCAAAGGCAGAGCCAGGAATGAGCAAAGTCAGATACCGGGGTCCAAGGAGAAAGGCGAGGTTCCAGGCCCAAGTGGAGGTCGTATACAAGCCAGGCCAGGCGCAAGGCGAGGTCAAACTGAACAAGGAACAGGTGCCTGACGAGTGCGGATCAGTCAAGGGCAGAAGTAGGGGGTGGTGGAAGATGATCCTGCCATGTTTGAGCGGGCCTCAAGGGCCCACTGTAACCTCCACCGAGGCCTGCCGAAGCTGGTGGCTTTCACAGAGCCTTCGAGCCCTTCCAGCATCTGGTCTGGTCCTGGCCCTTCCAGTACACGCAGGGTGAACTGAGCTGCTCTTCACAAGAGGAGCTATGTCCAAACTTCAGATCCTGATCTGGGGGCTCTTTGAAATAGCTTTGGTAAAAAAAATTGCCAGTGGTATACTAAAAGCAAGCTACATCTGCTGTAGGTAGAGAGGGGGTGCATTAACTCTGCCTGCCTACTCAATGTTACTTCATCTAGGGCAAGAACAGCAAAGGCATGTGGTCAGCAGAATAATTTCCAGCAGCCCTTGCTGCCTTAAAGTTACACAGTCCAGATGCCTGAGCACATCATGGTATGCCTTGTATACATCACTTATTAAATCTAATTTTCTCTTTTGCTCATTTTGGAGAACTATTGTTCTCTACAATTGCAGAAGGGAAAATTATGGGTGTGTTTACTTACTTTAAATTACTGCAAGCAGAAAACTAGACAACTAGGCTAGAACTATTTGCCTTTGATATGCATGGCCCAGAGGTCATGGCGTAGAACTTAAGGTTTCAGATGAACACAGAGAGTTTTAGATGGAGGAACAGGCGAACATGAAAACCCATCTGCAGGCTGAAGCAATGCATTTGAGCTGAAGTTGCATCAGGAAAGCAGCTGATTAGGAAATCCAAATTAGATCTAAGCTACATAAATGCATCTACAATCTTTGAGACATAATAGGTTAATGATACAGTGGCGGGTCCTCTTTTCAGGGTCCTGTTTGCTTTACGGATCCAATCGTGTACTATTTTGACTTTTCTTATCAAGCAAAACCTAGTGCAGTCTGTAAACAATACCAAATACCTATGTTTGTTTTTACTTTCTTCAGCTGATTGTATATAGGACAGTGGAAATGCAAATACTATAAAAGTTATTTTAGCACAACTCGCTATACTTGTTTAAATTGAGTACTGTTTTCCATTTCTCTTCCTCTCACACATTTGTGTTTCTGCAGATGCAAGAATGAAATGATGCAGCTAAAATGCACTTGCCTCTAGCAGGAGCAATGCCATCACAAACGTAGCACCTTTATAAGGATCAAGGGCTCTTGATCACATTTAAGCTTTTGGAGAATGATGCACACTTAGCTTTCTTGAAGTTTGCAATCTAAGTGAACCTCAAGACAAACTCTAGGTATCCCATTTCAGTGGCTGCTTTAAGATACTTCACACACATCTGTGAGCAGGTCTTCCTGGAACAACTATAGTAAAGAAATTGTTGCAGTAGGTTAGTGAAATACTTTGCAATCTTGATTTGTCAGTTACGGATTCCTCCCATTATTTACAAGGAAATCAGCTCTGTCTTGGAGAACAAACTGAAGGTAAGCGACTGCTAGACTGAAACCTAGGTATACGTTTCTTCAGACTTCAAGAAGTACTAAATACTTCAAGAAGTACATACATAGCACTAAAATGCCTTTAAGTCGCTGTGTACTAGTTCTGGCATATGTGGAATTTTGTTACTGTGGGACAAGAAGCTCTTGCAGCCCATTTTAACTGTATGCATGCCCTACTCAATGTAGGGTTTACATTTACGTTGCAGAATTACTGAAGCAAACTCAGTCTAAGCCACAGGTATCCAAGTGCTCTTTGGACCTGATTTGATACATTCAGGAGATCCATGAATAAAGTTGTTGCTTTTCCCACTACTTTTGTTTTTAAAAGCAGCCACAAAAGAGGCAGAAGTCATGTGGGCTGATGCCCTGAATGGGATGGACTGGGAATCATCAGCATCTTCTACTGGATAAAACACAGAAATACTAGTGTGGTACTTGGTATCTCTCTCCATCAGACAAATAACATTTTCCTAAGTGTGGGGATACTTGGTTAACCAATATGTATTAAATACACACACAGCATAGAGAGCCCCCTATTCGCTTTGTAAAATGTATTTCCATCCTCACCAATTTTGAAATACAAATAAATATTCTATGTAGATATATATTGATGCACAAGTGGTTTTCAAACTAGTAAAAATCACTGAACTACTTTAAACAGCAGTTCCTATCGGAACACCACCACCACCCCTAGTCTGTAAAAATGAGGATTAAACTGATTTTGTTTGGGTCTCAGCAACACTACCAAATTTTAATGATGCTGTGGGGAAAAGTTCACACCTACATTTGTTTAAATGGAACTTAAGTTCTAGCCACAGGATTCCAGGAGCTGAGTATGATGCTGCTTTGAGGTTTGTATGTAATCCCCAGATTTTCCTAAGTGTGTTTGTTTTATAACTCTGCATCCTGAAATGGGAAGATCTTACCACTAGTTGTAACAAACGTCATTATCAGTTTCAGCCACTTCGTGAAGGGATGACTTCTGAAGCAAATATACCAGGCATCCTTCTGGGGATCAGAATAATCCCAAGAGCACAGAAGTTTGCCATCTACAACTAAACTATAACTATATAAAACTGTTTTCAGGCAGCTTGCATATCTCCTTGGGAATACTGTTGTGATTTAACACTCAGCAACTAGGGCTATGATTAAACACTGCATTCCAGCACACCTGCTGTGCACGCAAACCGTCTGCATGTCCCATGTAGGAGCTATAAACCTGAATCTCAAAGCCGCTGCGCAGAGGAATTTTCCTTGCCAAAGGAGGTGAACCCATGAGAGAACACTCAACATTCCGTTTCCTGAAACAGAGAAAGAACTAAGGGGAAATGTAAAAGGTAAGCTGTCACAGGCCTGATGGAGTGTACACTGTAATTCCTGACCCTGGGAAAACTTTTCCATGAGAACTACCAAAATTGATAGTTGAACATCATTTCTGAAAAGACTGCAAATGTGTAGAAATGCCTGGAGAAAAAGGTTCAGTAATCAGCTTCTACAGAACTCGAACAAGATTCCTTACCATGCTGTACTGCACTGCCTCTTCCAGTTACATATTCTGAATTTCTTGAATAAAGTGCTTTTCATCCCTCCTTCAGGTGCAATTCCATTGTCTTGGGCGGGACTTCCCTAGATTAGCCAGTGAAGCACTGCACACACCTTGCCACAAAACCTAACATATGCTTTGCTATGTGGAAAACATGGAACATGGAAGGGGCAAAGGAAACCAGATCTGAAGGCCAGCTAGTCTGGTGTCTGCACCTGAGCTGCATTCGCCATTCCCTGAGTTCTTAAAGGGAGCCTCCCAAGAACAGCAGCCTGGTTTGTCTAGGGCTAGAAATCCTCAGCTCAAACTTCAATAGCGAATGCGGCTCTCTTCAGGGGACCGCAAAAGCGTTGCGGCTGTGTGCTGTCAAGTTGGCTTTGACTGATGGAGGCCCTACGAATGATTGCCCCCAAAACATCCTGCCCTTAACTGCATTGCTGATGCAAACCGGAGGCTGCGGCTTCCTTTAAAGGAGACTCCATCCATTCTACACAAGTGTGAAGAAGGCCTTCATCAAACCCGCTGAATTATCAAGCAAGGAGTCCCACAACACTTGAAACACTTTGTCACGGCAAAAGACTTCTTCAACGGCAAACTATTATTTCTGCTGCAACAGACGAAACACACCCGTTTCTTTCAAGATTATTACATTCCACAGAACCTAAACATCCTTGAATAAGGAGCGCATCTTGAGCCACCCACTGATGAACTGATTTTTAAAAAGATTCTGGATTGCGCTGAAATGGCCAGGCTGACTTTGCCTCTGAAGGAGAAAGAGGATACATACTTCTATCAAACTTGGAACTCTTTTTATCATTGGCTAGAGAAACCGGGTAATACATAGATTTGAATATATTTACGGACTGCTATAAAAAAAGGGGGGGGGGCTGACCCAACAGGTCTGATGTTTCTGATGATGTTTTTTAGTTTCTTTTTTTTAGTTTGTGGAAAATAATAACAAAATTTACTCAACAAAAAAGAGTAAGGAGCACATCTTTGCATTAAGAGATTTCCCCTATGGAAGCAAGGTGTCCGAGGAACACGATGGGACACAGGCAGCACTAAATCACGCAGGTGTGGGCTAAAGGGAGGCTCCGCCACCCTCCGTAAGCTTTACGACCAAGCAAGGGTGTGGGATGCGTGCGTTACGTTTAACCATTAACTCTGGACAACTCTCCCCAAGCGCAGGCTCTGCCTGACCAGGGGCCCCGCCCGGGAGCCCGTCCGGAGAGACGGGGCGACACGTCCAGCGGAGCGCGAGCGCGCCGAGCACGGAGAGAAGCCGGGGGGACTTGGCCAGCCCCGCACCCCGCACTCCGCCCAGGCTCGCTGGAAGCGCGCCACCCCCTTCGCCCCCAGCGCCGCGTCCAGCCCGGAAACCCCCAGCGGCCGAAAGGACCGGGCCCCCCCGCCCCGGCCCCCCCCCCGCCCCGGGCCCCCCGCCCCAGCCGCGCAAGAGGGCTGCGAGGCGTCTCCGACCGCGCGCGCCTTCCCGCCTGGGGGGCTCCGTCCCGGGGGCCCCGAGCGCGCGTCCCGCCGGGCGCCCTGGCGAGGCGAGGGGCAGCCAGCCCGGACCGCGGCCCTCCCGCGCCCAGGGGCGGGGGCCGCTGGACCCGAGGCCAGAGGGCCGCGACGGGCGGCGGGGAGGCCAAGCGGGCGCCCTCCCTCCACCTGCGGCGAGCCGGAGAAGCGCCTTACCTCCACCCACCGGCGCGCCTCCGCGAACGCCGCGTCGTAGCAGGCGCCCTCGCCGTCCGCTCGTTCTTCCATGGCTGGCAGGAGGGCACGGGGAGAAGGAGAAGGAGAGGGGCTGTCAGACCGCTGCGCCGCTCCGCGCGAGCCACAAGCCTGCCCGCCCGCCCCGGGAGCTCTGCTCGCTCGCCCGCCCTCTCCGGCTTCCCTCGTCGCGCAGGGCTTTGTTGCAAGTTTCGGGGCTATAAATAGGCGGCGGGCGTGCGCTGGAGGAAGAGCGCTGCGCGACGCATCTTCCTGCGGGGAGAAGCCCGGGCGAGGCGTCTCGCAAGGGCAGCGTTTGCCCCCGAAGCCTGGCCGTGAGCTGACGAGGAGAGAGGAGCGCTCTGCCGCCGCTCTCGGGGTCCCCCGCGGCTCCCCCGCCCCCGCCCGCAAACCGGGGAGCCAATTCCAGCGCAAAGCAGCGCGCCTCCTTTGGCACGGGCGTCGGGTGCCGCTCCGCGCTCGCGGGCTGCGCCGCCGCCCCCCCCCCCCCGGAGGGCCCCCCCCCGGCTTGCTTTCCCCCCCCCCCCCCCCGCGACGAGGGCGCACCTACCTCGCCGCTCCTGCTCCCGACCAGCTCCTCGCCAACAGCGGCGCAGCGCCGTGCAAACTTTCTTAAACTTCCCGGGAGGCGGCGCCGCGGCTTCCACCTGGCGGCAGGTGAGAGCATAGCAGCTGCACTCCGGACGTTGTTCCCTTTTCCCCAATACAGGAGCCAAAGCGCCCTCTCTCGGTAAAAGCGCGCTATGGCGCAGGAATGGATCTTGTGAGTGTGTGTATGCTTGTGGGGCGGGGGGGGGGGAAGGGGTCAAGTTCTAGCAAGCGCATGTTGAGCAAGCTTCGAATTAATTGGACTGAAAGCCGGCTGGAATTCTGGTGCACTTAATTCAGGAAAGCATCAGTCTGCTCGGGAGGTGCCTGAGCTTCGCAGAAGTACAGCAAATCTTTAGGGCAGGTGGGGAAAGTCTAAGAGCAAACCCTCAAAACAGTCCAGTAAGGATTGAGGATCAGGAGTCCAGCATATTGAGCGCTTGGGGGCTGGGGAAGAAGGGCATGGACTATCTGGAAGAGGGTGCTGATCCCACTGGCCCCGTCGACTGCAAGTTTTTGCAGGCCCTCATCCGAGGCGCCTTCCATGGGCTGCCTCCCTGCTGAGTCAGCCTTCTCACCAGCATTAACTGCTGCTGCTGATCTTCTCCCTCGCCCTAGCAAAGACTTGCTTTCCAGCTGAATTCCAGGAAGCAGACCAGCTCTGTCTTCTAGCACCCCACCGAACCATCGTCCTTGCCCAGTGGCAAATGCCCAGCCACACTTATTCTTCATGCCAGCCTGCCATGACATTCATCCACAGAAAGATTTCTTCTTCTAGTCCAGGGGTCGGTCAGAAACCTTTAACACTCAAAGAGACATTTGGACCCGTCTCCCACACACACACACACAAAATGAAGATAACACTGCATGTATCGTTTTTTGCCTTAATGCTATGTATATCTTCATAATGATTGAGCTGCAGCTCTTGTTCAGTCACTAAAAACTGTTATTTTTAATCTTACATTATAAACTAGTAGGACTCCTTTCATATATTTTGAATAGAAGAACAGCTTCCTGAAGAGTCAAAGTCAGTGCTAAAGGGCTGTATGCATTAAACAGCAAACCCCATAAGTTCGTCAGCAGTAAAAGCAAATGAATCTATCCACGTATCATTAAATGTTTGGTTTACTTCAGAAACTTTTCTTCGATTTATCCATGGTTGGCCTAAGGAGGGAGTGGGAGCTCAGTAAATCAGTGCGGATCTATCTGCAGATCGGCAGCTGTACCGGAGATATAGGTGTGTTTGGTGACTGATTAGCAGATAAACAGTCAAGTGCTGTGAATTGTGACAGGTCCCAAGCGCAGCTTTTATCATTCAGAGGAAGGAGATTACATTGGGACAAAGAGAATCCTTTCAGCAGCATGAGAGCCTGCAGGAAGCTTGTTTAGCAGAGGGATGTAGCGATTTACTTAACTAGCTGATTGACTTAACTAGCTAGCGCTGCTTTTCCTGAGTGGAGCTTCTGAGCAGATCAGTGGCTGTGCCGGCGCGTGTTTTGAGCAACGGAGCCGCAGCAGAGGGGTTCAAGAGCCACGTGTGGCTCCGGAGCCGTGGGTTGCCGACCCCTGTCCTAGTCCTTTAAGCCATCTAAGCTACTAAGTTGTTACTATTAATCATTTATAATTATGATTTATAAATCATTATTTACAACGTTCTACCCCATTTTACAGCCAAAGCTAACCCCCCCCCCCAAAAAAAAAGCTCTCAGCATTAATAATAGCCCGTACCCTCAGGGCTTTTAAGTTAAAATGGGTAGCACAAAAGAAAAAGGGAATGAGTGGGAACCGGAGGAGGAGGAGGAGGAGGAAAAAAGAGACACCAGGGCAGCAGCTCATTGAAAAATGTGTATTAATCTTCTAAGAAGGGAAGAGTGAAAAGAGCTGCCCGCTCTTGTTCCTTCTCCAGCCGGAGTATGGGGCTAGATTGGTCTCCCCCTTGCCATGGTGTTTATCTCAGGAGGCAGGGGCTGAAAAGATGACGGCAGTCCCAGGCTGGTTGGAGTCGTGTGTTCCTTTTGGCAGGGGAGAGCTGAAGCAAGCCGTCTTTCCAAAAGATGTACGAAACCAGAGGTTGGTCACTGCTGGCCACATGATAACCTTTTGTTCTTACGCACCACCAAGTTGTCCCTGATTTATGGGAACCCAGTGGATGAAAGCTCTCCAAAATGGTCAATCTAGAACAGCCCTGTTCAGTTCTCATAAATTCCACGTGAATGTGTCCTGTTTATCCAAAATGGAATTCAGGTGAAAAGAGGCCCTCCACTTCTGATCTGAGAGAAGCAAGACACTTTTCTATAGTTTATAAGGTTTCTCAAAGGGAATTAATCTAATAATTAATTAAATAATAAATTTACACCGTCAACTGAGTAAGAGGTTAAATGTTGCAATCAGTATGTTAAATGTTATTTAACTTTAAACGTTAAAGTTATTTAGTACTATAATATAAGCACATCTGTAAAATGCAGCCCCATGCATATTTATTCAAAACTAAATCACACTTTTGCAGCCCTGTGTACTTGTGGAATATCATATAAAGAGTCATTTTTATTGCATGCCATTAAGAATAACAGGATTTTAATCATCAAAAAGCATATTAAGGCAGGGTTGAGGCTGTCAGAATTCCAAGTAGTCAAATCCATTGCCACCCTCTCTTAACTGTGATAAATTGTGAGATAAATGCATGACTTCACCTGTACTAGATATTCATAACCCATTGGTTTAGGATTTTTTTTTAAAAAGTACGAAAGACTACCTGTCTAAATGTAATAGTTTTAGAGTACAATTTCAGGGACTCTGGGTGGATAGAAATAGAGACTGTAGCTTAATTACTGTAAACTCTATACCACCAGGGCTACACCCATGTATAAAAGCCATTTCCTTATTTGAACTGAACGCAGGATGTATCCCCCTTGTCGTACTTCTGTGAGGCTAGGCAGTGCTTACTTTTCCAACACCACCGTAAACCAAGAGATTGTGGCTTTTGTTCCTACATGGGAGAATGCCGGCCTTTGTGGCAGTCGCGTGGGGGAACGGGAGGCATTCTGTTTACTGTGTCTGTATCAATCATAGCTTTTGTTGTCTTGGAAAATCTAACAAGGGGAGATGTCAGAAGAGAGATTCACAGAATCTTGTGATGACCCCAGGTGCTCTGCCCCATTCAAAGACTCAAATGTTTCAGCGGATACCGAACTAATGTATGCGTCTCCTGTTTCTCCAACCTTGTGTGCATTTCGGATATTTGTAGCATCATAGGAATAGTCTATGGCCAGTACATAAACCCACCAATATTAAGGCATCAGGACTGTGTTGAGTTCTGAAAAAAATAAAGATTTATGCTTCCAAATTTAAAGCTTCAGTTTTAAAGCCGGACATGCAATAAAAGAACCGACAGAGTCAAAAACATTTGAATGAATTCCGCACACATTAGGTGCATGCAAAGGCGAAAAGTGAAAGCATGGGGACAGTTTGTGCAAGGTGAAAGGTTATGCCAGACATTCCTGTTTCCTGCTTCATTTACTAGCGCGGAGCACAAGGTGGCTGCCCTGTCAAGGTTTCCAGCAAGTCCAGCTCATGTTTCAGTCAGTCTGTTCAAAAGGACTTGAATCTTGCAAGGTTTTCCACTTTAAAATAAGCATGGGATTATTACCTGATCTTAGTTCATTAGCTTGCATAGAAAAATAGTGTCTTGCAGAAGGCTGTACGGTGATCAAACTCTACCTTTGACACATTTATGTAATTGTCAGCAGCAGCTTACTTTAGGATGGATGGGTTTCGCAACAATTAAAAATGGAAATGATACCCATTCTTCCATATAGAGAGGTCCGCCTGGCGCCGTCGTTATTTGTTTTTCGGCGCCAGGCGAAGACCTTTTTATTTAAGTGGCATTTTAATTGTTAATATTATTGGATTTTATCTGGCCAGGGCGGTTTATTTTATATTGTTATTTTTGTATTTTTAATTTTAATGTTTATATTTTTAATGTTATTTATTTTTAACTTATTGTTGTAAGCCGCCCTGAGGCTTCGGCGAATGGGGCGGCATAAAAATGTTTTAATAATAATAAATAAATAAATATAGGGATGCCATGTACGTTCGTTTAGAATTCATCTGGAGCCGGTGAGTTTTCATTTCTCCCCCTAGCAACCAGAACAGGTCATGTGGAGGTTAACTAAGGGCAGGAGAGGAAGAGTGCAGGGAAGAAGAGATGGGAAGTGTAAGCCAGGCGGGCTTCAGCTCAGAGACATTTTAGCAGAAGCATCCACCATTCTAGGCAGTTCTCCAGTTGCAAGTAGGCCCACGTCTGTATCAAGGCAGAGCAAGTTTGGGAGGGGGGCGTTTCCCTTGGACTAAGCAATTGCGAGCACTGCTGTTACTGTGGGCTTGGTCTTGGTGAAAAAAACAAAAATTGCCCATTCCATCACTTCTTGCCATTCAGGAAGCATTTCCTATCTATTCCCTCGTGTGCTTTCTAGCTTTTCTCCATTACTGGTTGTGCTTATTTGCACTTTGGACAGAACTAAAATAGTAGTTTAAATGGCCTATAAAATAAGGGACCCATTTTTTGATCTGCCTGAAATCTGGCGGACTTAATTCCTTGGAGTGCTAGTAGCATGTGTGAAAATTTCATGTTAACTGGTTGCCAAGTGTGGAAGTTACAGGCAGGCAGAAGAGTAGTCTTTTTCACAATTAATTATTTTAATTAGAGATATTGCACAATCCTATTATTGCCAAGAAACTTGATTGAATAATGCTAACTAAAGCCAGGACTACATGGTGATTAGGTTTTAAAAAGACAACAGCTTTGGAATTGGCTTTAAATTTGGAGCAGAATGTGAATCTGGAAATTCTCTCCATAGTTGTATGGCGAGACTGTATCATAGACTGTGCTACCAAGCTTCACTCCTGAATTTAGCGAGCCAACCACAAAAACAATTCTCTTTATCCTGACCTTGCATAGCTATGCTGTCATTACATCACTTTCCTTGCTGAAATGCTGTTCCTACAATCCAGAAAAAATGGCTGGAGCAGGCTTGAACAGCTGATATCCAACAGAAGAGCAACCATGGAATGCGTATTCAGGACGAATAGTGGCACCAGCTGCAGGATAAATGGTGTAAGATGATACAGAATGGCTTGGACACCGTCTTTAGGGAAGGAAGGCGGTCCTCATTGTCACCGGAGGCTTCCTGGGGGATACTGGTTTTCATTTCTTCCCCTCTGTAGCAGAAGTGGCTTCACAAGATCCAAGCACCGTCCCACAAGGCAGTATTATTCTGTTCTAGGTATGTTCTAGGATTTCAGCTAGCATCATAAGCTTGGGAACATATGATCCTACCTTAATATGTTATGTGCATTCAGACTGCAATTCATGCGCACCATACTATTTAGTTCTTCCCTGTGATTTGAACAGTGACCTGTAACCGTTTCCTTATCTTGTTTGAAGTCCATAAAAGGAGCACTTCTACAAGAACTGCACTGTTCCCAGTGGTGTGTGTCTCTCTCAAAACATGTTGTAAGCAAACACAATGAAAGCTGTAGAACACATTTACCATGTAAGGTAGGTACATTAACTTGCTATTTTCATTCTTTGTAGTCAATCAGTAAGAATCTCAGCTCTCAAGCTAAATCCAAGGATGTTTTATCCCCGATTTTTAGAAATTAAACAGGGCTGTATAGGTTCTGGGTTTCTTCCAACGTGCAGCTACCACTATTTCTGGGGTCCTGTGACATCAGCAGGTCTGGTATAGGCAGAACCTCTTGGTTCTGCAGCTTTTCTGGTGACGCATCTTCGCAGGCAATAGCCTTCAGAGGTTTGGTAATACTAGGTATGTACATCGCTAAGTATGAGGGCTCCTTTCCTTCACTTGGTTCTGGTAGGAAGTTGATGGGACACTGCCCACCATTCCAGATCTCTTGCTAGATGTATTGCCTGTGATGGAAAGCTGGAGTAGCAGAGCATGGGATTTCTGGGGCAAGGACGCCTGCCTCTCCATAGAAGTGGACTCAAAACCAGCTGGGGATGGCAGGTTCTCTGGCTGCTGGTACTCATGCTCTGTGAGAAAATGCTCTTGTGATGTACAGGAAAGCCTTGACTGGATCACATGTACGCCACTGCAAGGTGAACTATGCCGGGTTTTAGTTTTTTCACTGCCAGTCTTTTCTGCTCATGCAGAGATGCAACTCTGAGCCAAGTTCAAGGATCAGGATATGTCCCACAAATTCTACTGTGGTAAAGTTTTCTCCAGCTACTCTGACCAGAGTTGGTGCTATTAGTAGCATCCAAGCTTTCCCAGGTGCCATAGTATTGTTATGACAGAGCTATCTATATCAACCTGCTCCAACCTGGTGAATTTTGGGCCACAACTCCTATCAGCCACATGCAACATAGCTAGTGGACAATACTGAGTTGGAGTCCAACAAATCTGGAGAGCACCATACTGGAGAAGACTGGTTTATGTAGTGGAGGAGCCAAGATTGCTTACAGAAAAACATTACTGGATGAACTTATCCACAATGCCTTTTGTGATGTTAGACTACTGAACAGAGGGTCTAGAAGGGCTTGAAGAAAAGGATACAAGAGACAGCGGAGATTCTGACGTTTAATCGGCATCAACATGTTATTTGAGAGGTATCAAAATCTGATCATAATTGATTATGGCAAAAGCATTATTTCGTTACAATACATTAAACAACCAGTTTTTTCCTTGTGTAAGAATAATTTAAGCTGCTGCTAGAGCAATTGCATTGAATCGTAATTCATTTGGATCACGTTCCATGAATTTTTTGCATACTTCTACTGCATCCTAGTGAGAAAACACAAAAAGTTTAAAATGTATCGTTACATTTATAAACATAGAAGACACTGATCTACATTTATTTTTTGATGTTACCATTTTAACTGTTGCTACTTCTTAGATCCTATTTTGTGGTGAAACGGTGTTTTAATGCTGTTACCCATGTACCCACTCCATGTGTGTGGGTGTGTGCGCGCACACACACACACACGCACGCATGTTTACAAGCTGCCTTGGGAGGATTGGCCTTTCATGGCTATGTATTTTTAAATACAAAACCCCCAAATTACCTGACATGGCAGAATTGAAAGCTCTAATTAGCCTGAACTGTCTTCATGAATAATACTCCCAAGTAGTAAATGAAACTCAGAGTGAACAACTTTAATATGACTAATGATCTGAATGCATCTACATTTGCCTCTGTTTCTGCCACAGCAGTTTCAAATGTTACCACAGTAAATAGTTTCTATCACCCATGAGCACTTTCTTTAAACAGCGTCAACACAGCTTTGAGACAAGACGGCTTGCATGCCTACCTCTAAAAATGTGTCATCACTTGATCGCCCATGGTTGATAGGGAAAGGCTTCCGTCCATCTGTTGGAATATGAAGAAAGTAATTCTTTATTAAGCTTTGCACAGAATCCGGTAGTGCTCTTCCGCTGCACCTCATGCATGCTACAGGTGCGTTCACCCGTTCTGCGATTTTTCCCACCCTGCAACACAGTGATCAAGCACACATTCTAGGCTCCAATTCAAGCCACCAACAGCCACCAACTTTTGAATGAAATATCCGATCTACAAGTATGCACCCTAGCAGCGCGGACTGTTTCCACGGGCACAACATGAGCCCATTGGCGTGCCAGGCAGTCTTCAGTCCTTCTTTATGTAACTGTGTGGGGCAGGCTTGCAGAGTGGGGCCAGCGCACTGTGGAGCGAGCTGAGGGGTGACTGGCACACGGCAGCCGCAGGCCACTTCCCCGGCTCCTTTCTCTCTGGTCATCCTGCAGGTTGTCTTGGGGACACTGCAGGAGCACCAAGCTTTCCCAGGCTTCTTGCAGAGGCTGCCAGCATGGTCATTCTATTTTAAGGTCTTTTTCACCCGAGGTCATAGAAACGGGCTGGCCATCCGTCTCCCCCATCTCGATGAGGTGCCATCTAAGGATTGCCACAGTACCTTGGAAGGGCTGCCTACAGTCTCTTGCAAGGATACGCCAATTAATAATATGCCACTAATATACCAATTAATTCCATCATAATATACAAATTATGTGCACAGAAAGTGACTCTCATAGCAATCTTCTCTCCTGAAAAGCCCTGTTTGTGCACTTGGAGGTCCCGAGGTAGGTGCAAAACCCTAGATAAGCCATGACTTCCTGAGCTGGCTTCGCCCCCACCATGCAAGACGCTCACTGGGTTCAGGCAACACAGGGAGCCACCAAGGGTTCGAAGCCATGTGACTTAGCTATGTTGTGCACACCCAGTCATGTTCTAGCGCAATTTGAAAAGAAAGGTAGTGCATGAATGCCTCAGGCTCAAAATAAACGCACTTTCTCTCACTCGAACACAGAAGCTCCACGGTAGAACAGAAAGCATTCCCTTCAGAGCAGTACTCAACAGCCAGCCCTATGCTTTAAGCCAGCAGAGCAGGCCTCGTTAGCCCATGGGCCACACTGCATTCCACAGACGCTTTCGCAGGCTCCATTCCAGGGCCAGAGCCAAAAAAGGCCAGGCCTCAAGGTTAAGCATACTAAATCCATGGAAGTAATTCAGCTTACAGCTCTTAGTCAGCAGCTGAACCTTATGGGAGGGATTTCAACCTTTTAAAATGGGGAAAAACTAAACAAAAGCTGGGCAGCCACCAGAGGATCCACTTGGAGGAAGGAGGATGGGTCAGGGAGGGGGCAGGGTTTCTGCCACACCCCAGCAGGTCTGATTTTGTCCTTGGCCCTGAAGTTTATTTATTTATTTATTATTAAAACATTTTTATGCCGCCCCATTCGCCGAAGCCTCGGGGCGGCTTACAACAATAAATTAAAAGTAAATATAATATAAATTACAATAAATATAAACATTAAATTAAAAATACAAAAATACAATATAAAATAAGCCGCCCTGGCCAGATAAAATCTAGTAATACCAACAGTTAAAATGCCGCTGCACTCCTGGCTCAAAACAGGGCATAATGGCAAGAGGTCTTCCTTGTTTGTCTTTAGAATTCAGAGTGGAGCTGCTTAGACACAGAGGCTCAGTTTACCTGCTATGATTAATCGCGATGGACTAATTCTCCATGGCAATTTCATTCTACAATAATCTCAGTGGCCAAAGACCTGAAGCTGGCTTTGTACTTTCCAGTATGAGCTTATTGAATGTGTCAGCCAGTCTTCGCGCCCTGTTGAAGTTTTTCATGCATGCTAATTCAGTTTGGCAATAGTCTTTAATTGATCGAGGACAACTCCTAAATTGAGCTCAGATAACGTGTGAATTTTATTCCACCTTGACCGCACTCACTGGAGTGGATGACTCCTGCATGTGTGACAAGCCAGAAGGCAGTTCCGTAGCGCACATTCTTGGGTACATTCCACAGACTTAGAATTGACCCACCCACTCTTTGCAAGCTACATTTTTGGTTTGGTTCCCAAGTCTATTCTGGGAAACAGTATTCGAAATTGTTGCCACAGAAAACACGCTGTTTATGTTCATAGGTAAAGTTTGTGTGTATAGGGTCCTCTAGGATTCAAAAGCAGACTGCCATCTAAGACTCAAAGCATACAGTAAGAACAAATTTTAGGAACTTTTACAAGTACATGCTGGGAACTATAGTTCTCAGATCAAAGATTTTACTAATGATGTAGTACTAATTCTTTAGCAGAAGTTCTCTTATGTCTTACATAACAGACTGCCTCAAGTCCTGCCACTAGAGATTTTTTTTTTTAATCAGATATGCCAGAAACTGAATCTGTGGGCTTTGATGTGCAGATTTTGCACCCGTGACTTGTACAGTGTAACAGCTCCAGAATACCACTCCGCTGCTTCAGTTTAACAATACATCAAGACGAAGTATCTTAAAATTTCAGAGAAACCGTGGCTCTGACCAAGACTGGCAACCCTGCTCTATGCCATTTGCTAATGCCATGCGGTAAAACAAATATGGGGAATGCCTGGTCTTCCAGATGTTGGCCTACAACATCATCCCTCGACAGTGGCTCTGCTGGCTTCGGCTAATGGAAGCTGCAGAACAGCTCCATCTACACTGTAAAGCACACTAAAATACCTTTTTATTTAAGATTATTTAAAGAGATAGGACAAATACGTATGACACTGGGCTATGTATACTTTGGTTTTTCTTTTTCTTTTTCCCATAAGAACATGCAGGGAATCCTGGTTACCCAATGTAATGCAGTCAGAATGGTGTAGGAGCTAATCCAAGTGATCAAACAGCAGCAGTACAAATATTGTGATTTGATTTGCAATGTCTGTGCAGCATTAGGATCCCAAGCAAAGGGTCTGTGGTACATTCAAGGTATGCGGACAGTCAGCGCAGACGGACACCTGAAAAGCAGAAGGAAGTTCTGAGGTCCCTTCTGTGAGTTAGTGGGTTTCTGTCAGCATTCTTGAATGATATGCTTACCACGTTCAAAGAACGTAATTCACTGAAAAAATGGTAGTGAAACTTTTTTTAAAAGGCAAGATGATGTTACCGCTATGTCAAGCTACAGTTTCAAGTTAATAGTATAAAAAACAGGAAGCCTTCGTCGTAGGTCGTATCTGGGCCACTTTGAAGAACTATGTTTATTCTTACCCAGTTCATAGAGACTGCCATCCACATTTACTAACGCGATGAAGTGAAGGTCTACTTTGTCATCTATACTGGGTGCCTGTGAGGAAAAAATAGGGCGTGTGTAAGAAGTTAGTATTCTAAATCTCAATCTCTGGTTTAGGAAGAAATACTTGTGAAGAGCTAGAGCACAAGGTATGGACCAACGTCAAAGAAGTACAATGGCATTTCTTATAATATGCTTATAATGGCAGTGAGGACATGCTGCTAATGTTTCCTCACTGCTCATCCAGCCTGTGCACCTCTGGAATCAGCTGTAGAGTCCCAGAGCATAGGAATGTATTCCAGCTGGGGTGAAGCCTGGGCACCTGGGCCTTTCAGGAACTTCATCACTGCAGGTGTGAGCCCCATCAAAGCACTCCGAAGTGCTGTAACACTCGCCCCTTTACACTCCCAGTGGCCAACACTACAGCCATTACAGTACAAAATAACCACAAAATGGTAAACCATACTTTCTAGCTAGACAAAAACGAGCCCTCTTACATAGCTAAAAATCTATGTGGTCCTATACACACGAGGAAGGAGGACCTATTCAAGTCAAGAGGATGTACGTCTGAACAAATATGACTAGGACTGCAGGGTTAGATTTGCATGTAAACGTTATCTATGTAAACACCATATTACAAACTTTCTTTCTGATACATGCAACAGCCACTGAGAAGCAAATGTTAATGAGAATTATGTTTTAGGTGTCTGTTAAATCTGTAACAAAGCTAGAATAAAAATAGGCAATAATTACTGCAATTTAGAAAGCTAATTGAAGCAACCACAATAGGTAGTTACATGTCTATCAGCACACAATTCTTACTCCAACTAGTACATGGCTGCTTATGCCAACAGCTATTAAAAGCTGGCTAATTTTAATTTTTTCAACACCTTGGATTTAAGTAAAATGATTCCTAGCATTCTATTCTCTGTAGTAACATGATTGTAACTAGCATTCCAGTGCCACACCTTTTTGCTAGTACCTAACCGCAATAGCAGCATGCGGTTGCTAAATATAAGCTGAACATAAAACTGGTATGTTATAAATGTCATACACGTGTATATAGGCACAAGTGTTTAGGGCCGGGGCATTAATTTGCTCTTCATGTGGTTAAATGATTTACAGAATGAAAAAAAAATATTCGAAAGGACAATTCATGTGATCCAAAGATTAGAATAACATCCCTACAAAAATGACATTTAAACATTTGTAACTGCTTTGTTTTTAGGGGGGGAAGGCAACTACAGAGGTATAGAAAAGAGTTATAAAGCTAAAAATAGTACAAGAAAAGAGCACAGCAAAACTTATTTGCCTTACTGCAGCGAGAGATTTGTACATCCCCACGTTGTTAAATGGAAAGAACATAGCAAAAGCTTAAGTTAACTGATGTTTCATCTGTCCCCATAAATCTACCAATGCTTCTACAAAATCCTGTTATTTGGGGAGCACAGGGACTTGTTGCAAAAAACCTGAATGTTCTCAGGAATGACTGAACCCAGGATGAGGCAAGGTTTCCAAGGATCTGTATGTTGTAGGACAGTTCCTTCTCCCTAAACATGAACAGCATTGCACACTAAATAATTACACTAGGATACCAGGCAATTTCCTCTTCCATGATCTCTATCTGTGTTAGTCTTACAGGATCTTAAGTCTTCGTCCAACTAAACTTCTTTTCGTTTTGAACTTCACCCTAGTATTACATTTTCATTCTCATATTTCCAGACCCACATTAAAGCTAGTTTGCAAACAGGCTATACATGTGTCAAATCACAAAGCAGACCTCCAAGTGTGGAACGAGCAAATCAAATGAACAGATCTACAAACTTGCAGAGGTGAGTATGAGCAAACAGTGGCTTTAAGGAGAACTGTTAAATGAATGCTTCCTTGCTTGCTACTTTCTCTGGAATTTATACAATTTGCCCATACAGTAATTCCTGAGAGGATGTAGCACATAACAACTCCAGTGTTTTCTTCCATGGAGGCAAACTTTCTGATGCAAGTGAGATGAGACTCTTTGACTTTCATTCCCCCCCACCACCCCCCTCCCACCACAGTACAGTATTTTATGCATATGTTAAACTGTAATGGCACATCAACAATCTTTTGTGATAGATCAAAGATTGCAGGAGGGCTTTTTTCCTTTTTGTGCTATGTATGGAAACAATGGCTTGATATATCATGACAGTGTAAGGTAACATTTAGTAAGTTAAGCATCTCTTGTGAGAACAGTTAACTTGTGGCAAAATGCTGCTTCACTGGTATAACCCAAAAGACTTTCAAAAGAAAAAAAACCACCAAGATCCAAGAGTAACGAGTTAAAAAATTGAGGAGTTTTACCATTAAGAATTTTTGAGATGAACTGATTCCGAGGGCTGAGCAGGGCTGTCAAGAAGAGGATATTTCAGAGGGAATTCATTCACAGGACTGCCATAAGTCAGAGAGGACTTGATGGCAGGTACCAACAGCAATAATAAACACATTCAGAGAATCAGGAGGGCAAGAAAAGACCATTTAAGCCATATTGCTACTGAAACCGTTGCGATCAAGAGGAGGCAGAGAAGACTAAGAAATATGCAGGCCAATGGGCTCTGCGTAAAACAAAGGGCTAAGGAAGCTATGCTCAATCGGATGCGAAAGAAGCTGATTTGATGCAGAACTAAACACTAGACGCCCCAACAGAAACACCCGTGAGCTGAGCAGGAAGATATCAGATCAAGAAAAAAATCTTGAAACAAACAGCAGTTTCCATTAGAAGCAGTCTTCTTAGCCATTTGGTATTTGTCACCAAGAGCCACCTACTGATGAGAATTTAGGACAGCAGAGAGCGCCCAAAGAGGAATCCAGAGCTGCAAAGTAGCACCTTCAAGCCTAAATGCTGAGGCAGCAGGAGAGGAAGTGGAAGAGAGACTAAACTTACAACAGAACGGAGCCCAACAGATGATAGGGGTATTGTGGGCCGCCAGCGCCGAAGGCAGACCGGTGGACTTGTAGCCTTTACAGGGCCCGTGGCTTTTGCAGAGGCTACATGATTACATCCGATCAGTGTCAAGGATGCAGAGCGACGCAAGGGTGAAGCCTTCATTTTGCAGTGGCTAAACTGAGGCTGTGATGAGGAGGATGGTGAGGGCAGCAAGGATGACGACGACTACATAAATATTAAAAAGAGACACACTTTACAAGTAGCTATAGTTTGTTTGTTTGTTTTTACTATGTCACATACCCAAATGGACAAACAATTAATGACAATATCAAAAGCAGCTGTGGCCTAAAAGTGTGCAGAATGCTCTATTTTAATCCGAAGGGAAGCACTCAATTAAGAACAGGGTTTCTATACTGTCAGGGCTCATCCGAATTATCGGCAAATGCTGGCTTGTTTCAGCTAACTTGGGGAACAGCCATTTGTCCTAACCAGTTTATACGTGATGTAAATGTGGAGTTATTCCGAAAGGACAGCAAAACCTTTGGCACGGCTTTCACACGGGGGAGGAGGAAAGGCAAGGCAGGCTGTGAGGCAGAGGGCTTGCAGGGGAAGCTACTCACAGCCCCCTAACCACCGTCATCTGAGCAAGGCCTTAAAGTCCTTCAGACCCCTCAGGTCTCAACAGGCAGTGCACTGAATATTAACCATTCTTCATAACCAGTTTTGCCTTTGTTGGCAAGTCTGTAGGAAGTTGCTAAAGGCAGACCTTAACAGCATACAGATGCACTGAGTCCTCATAGCTGAAATGCCAAAGTGAAATGTATTGCATTCCTCAACACTTCAGCCTTGGTTGACGAGAGAGGTTTTACTTTATTTTCTTTGTACATGAGATATTTACTTAGAAACAATGAAAAATAAGCTGCTCCAGATGGAAACTTAGTTTTGCCTGATTAACTTTTGACAGGAAATACCTTTTACAGCATGTGCACTTTGTCCTGAAAAACAAGACTCGGGAGCACAACAAAAAAGTTCCATCAAGGCATGAGATTAGAACAGACACAAAACTCCCTGCGTTTCACATGTTTAAAAAGAAGAAACTAAACATAAAACTTAAAACATTTTCCAAGTTTAACTTCGGCAACTAAAAGAAGGTTAAACCATTAGATTATCGACACAGTTTCTATCAATCCTCTAATTTACATAAAGTTTTACAGGCCAAGTAGTTTACATGCCTATATGCTAGTCAGTGGCCTTTACATAAAAAATGGCGGAGGCAACCTCAAAGCGCTACTGCTACTGTGAACATAAGAACATACATTAAGAACTCTACACATGGAAGACCCCTTCAGATGTTCTAATGGGTGTGTTTAGGTTGGGACTGAGCCTCCCCCTCCCTGAAAAGGGCTAGTGTCTTATTCCTTGGTGAGGCTCGCCCCACTAGGCTTAGGGGTAAGAGTACATGGTGGGAGACATTTGAAGGGCCCGGCTGGGTGTGTTGTTTTGAAGGAGAATGACCACCGTGCATGCAGACCATCCCGTGACCCCAGGAGCATAGGTTGGTGCAATGAGCTTCCTCAGAAAACCCTCTGCAACTGCTTACCCTATTAATATCGTGCCAACAATACATCAGTCACACAGATGCAACTGTCCTGATATTCCCCTCCATTACAAGACTGAACCATGCATTTCTACATAGCAAGAATGAACAACATATTCAAAATGAGTCAAAACGTATTAAAAAAAGATTTTTAAAAAATGTATTTATTTGGTTTTCACTACGAGTCCACTAAGGCATGGATTCAGTCCACCTATTTCCTAAATAAATATCTGGCAAGTGGGCATGACAGAATACTTCTGATGGGGTATGATGAAGACCACATAAGTGCACATATGCATGAATTTGGAATTGTGGCATCAATTCTGTTTGGAAGCCATGCTAAAAATATGATTGAAGGGTATATTATTATTATTCTTCAAAAGTCATTAATTTATTGTATTCAATAAAATATATATTGAAGGATAAAGTACATAACAGTTGTGTACTATCTATATTACAAAATACAGACTTGGATCCAAGGTAAGCTAACATAAGAAATTTCACCGAGGGAAACTTTCCCCAGCCCCCTTTCTCCCA